TTTTTGTCATCGATGAAACGATTAAGTAACTATTGCCAAAATAATGTATAATTACATTGTTGTATAGCAAATCACATTAAACCATCTGCTTTCAGGTATGCTGGCGATATCTACAACAGTGTAGTTGGTGTATTTTGGCGTAATTACAGTGGTGAATTTTTGATTGCCACACAGTTTCAACCGGAATATGCTCGAACATTGTTCCCATCGATAGATGCTCCAAACTATAAGGCCACCTTTACTCTGAGCTTAATACATCGTACCAATACCAGAGCTTTGGGAAACAGTGTACCATCAGAAATTCGTCAACTGAATAAAGAATGGATGCGTACAGACTTTATGCAGTCCATTCCACTTCCAACTTACTTATTCGCATTTGCCATCCTACCACAGTCATTCCGTGTGGTAAATTATTAAATTAAAGCATGCTTTCCCTCTCTTTTTATTTCGATAGTGATACCGAACTTTTTTCCTATTCCTCAACGGAGTGGGGGGTGGTGGGAAGTTTTTTTGGGTCATTTTAGAAGTTTTAGCCATTCTTTAGAGTGCACAGAAATCTCAGTCATTGAATAGTGTTGCGAAAAAATTTAATTGAGGCAAATGCTAATAATTCTTCTGTCTAAAGAGTCATTAAGTCGAATTAGGCTAATTTTGGACAATAGGTACAGTTTTATTTCAAGAAGTGCTTCTAGGTATCCAAAATGACAACTTTTGGAGTTCTGGTGCACATACATGGACCAAGATCATTTGAACGATTTGAAGCTACCGCAGAGTTAGCGGTAAGATGTGCCGAACTGGCTTATGATATGTTCAAAATACCTCTGACACTTAGCAAAATTGATTTCTTGGTCGTAAAGGTTGGTTTTGGTTTGTTGTCAAATGCAAACTTTGTTTATCTGTTACATTTATTTGCTTTTCTTTTTTGTGAAAAGAATTATAAAAAAAATGGCATTAATATGGATTATAAAATTTCTTTATTGGATTACATTAACAAACTAAAATAAAATTGAGATGATAAGCACTTATCAAGGGCTAATTCTGTTTAGTAGGTCGAGTATGTCTCAAAATATTTGTTATTTTTTCACTTAAAATCATAACTTGGTCTTTTTTCCACGCCTGTGCCAATTTTATATGATTGTGGTTAATAGAGAGCTTTCTAAAACCACTTGTTTAATTGAGAAATATAGGGATCAAAACGAAGTTGCTAACCTGATAGCAGTTATAGCATCTCAATAATTTAACATTCGCATATCTAAAGGTTAAAGAATTGCCTCATGCAACTTGTACACACTCTAATCCATACAATTTTTTTCTAGGAATGAATGATTTGGTAATTGAAAAAAATGATAATTAATGACGGGAAGTCTTAGAAGGTAGGCTGGACCGGGCAAAACTTTGTTACAAGCTTGCAAGATGTCCGTTGTTTAAGCTTCTTCTTCGTTCCTATTGCACGCAAGTGCTAAGTGATTACTTGGTTTGCAAACTCAATTTCTGAAACCAGTATGAGTAAGCCAACTTAACCTCAACCATTGTTCTTAACCTGGGTTTTTCAGTGTAAGACTATCTAGTTGGAGAATGCTTCTTTTCTAATGACTCGACTATATTGGTAGGGTTCGCAAACTACACCCGTAAAGCTCATTTTTTAACGAAGAATGCTTCTTCCACTTCATTAATTTCCTGCCTTGCTGCAGCAGCATACTGCACTTTTTTTACAGACAAAGAAAGATTGTTTCTTCTTCGTACTCTAAATCAAAAATTTTTGACAAAAGGTCTGGAAGTAAAAAAATAAAAATATAATGGACTTGAAAGCAATCAGTAAAGTTCTTGCCAATCTACCATGGGCCTTACTTTTTTTAGGTCATTTCAGAAGTTTTAGCCATTCTTTAGAGTGCACAGAAATCTCAGTCATTGAATAGTGTTGCGAAAAAATTTAATTGAGGCAAATGCTAATAATTCTTCTGTCTAAAGAGTCATTAAGTCGAATTAGGCTAATTTTGGACAATAGGTACAGTTTTATTTCATTTCTGCAGCTCTATTTACAGGGCATTTTGTTTTTCTTACTGGGTTTAGTTTTTTGTTTGGAAACCATTTCGAAACTCAGTAATCTATGAATTTTTTGAATGTAGACATTTACTGTTAATGGCATTAACCTTACGCCTGTCACATATGTTGCTGCTTTTTTGACTTGTACAACAAAGCTAAAAAACAATAAAATCAAGTTCTGCATGTGAAGACAGTTGTAGATACCGTTAGTCAAAACCAACGTTCTTCACTTCTTGAGTAAGTCTTCTGGCTTTTATAAATAAAGACATTGAGAACTTTTAGTAGTAATTACTAGCGGCAGAATTTTGTAGAATACTGGGCCGGCGAGCGGAATGGAAAACTGGGGCCTTGTAACACTTAGCGAAGAATATTTGATGGAAGCCGACGATGCTCATGCTATCTATTTGATCAGCCATGAAATCGTTCACCACTGGATCGGTAACCTTATGACAATATCGGATTGGAGTCAAGCTTGTCTTCAGGTACGGCGCTACTTTTTTTTTTACTAATATCGGCGTGATTAATTGTTCGTGAACATCTCAATTATCTTTCTTCATTACTCTAATTTACAGTTTTTATTGAAACTAATACCACTTCTAAGCAAATTTGGCTAACATTAAGAAATTTTTCTTAGGAGGACCTTGCCGATTTTATTGCTCTGAAGATTTTGCGAATTATGTCCAAAAGTGACAGGCGTTATGAGCGCTTTCGTCTTTCCCGGTATTTGGCTATTCAACTTGCCGAAACTGTATTTACACCCGATGAACCGTTAGTGCCGCTCAAAAAAATTTCTATTTCACGGGTTCGTTATTTTCTGATTTTCTTTCTTTACTTTTTGAAGTTTCTCATAATGACTACTGTATTTACAATATCTCAAACGTATGAAAAATAAGCAATTAGAATCTAAAAAGCCGTGTATTGTCAGAGCAATATTTTGTTGATAGTAAGCTGTTTTTACAGAAGAATTTCTTGTTTTTTACTTCAAATGTATTTTATTCAGCAGAATTGACTAAAATTAAGTTAAAATATCTTCATTTTGAATGGAATGGCTTTGTAACGGCATTTAAGCTAGTAGACAGTGGTGAAGCCAAAATATTTTTAAAGTTCAATTAAGTAATTAGGCAAAGCTGTAAAGCGTGAATTCGGATGTACGCTTAGTTACGGAAGGTTTTAAATGGCTGTGAAAACTAAGGGATATTTAAAATCGATCGTTGATTATGTTGTAAAACAGAACATATT